GCAGCAAGTATGCCTTTCGTAGATTTGTAAAGATTATCTGACGCAACCTAGATGAGCCAGAATGGCATCTACGGTCTAGTTCTGCGAAGACAGAACTTCTGTAATTCATTTGCATCTTTTTGCTTCCAAGCTTTTGTACTTTAGAAGTCGTAAGCTTCGACACGAAGAAAATTTGTGTCTGTTTTGTGTTTGGTAGTGTCCTAGGTCCCCTAGGCGTGTCTACGCTATACGTGTGTAGCACCTGTTCTCTTGTATAGATTAGTCTGTAGCTCTTCAGTCCGCTTTCGACCTAATTCATTTGGCTCAGGACTTAGTAGCCCAATACCTGCATCCGCAGCCATAGAAAAGGTGTGCATCGCTGCCGCTGGCACACCGATCGCATTCGTGTGACTCACTTGGTGTTTCGATCAGGTCCAGTTAAGCAACTGCCACTTCTGGGGGAACTTACCCCTCACCTCCCTCCTTCCCTCCCCTCCCTCCTTCCCTCCCCTCCCTCCTTCCCTCCCCTCCCTCCCCTCCCTCCTTCCCTCCTTCCCTCCTTCCCTCCTTCCCTCCTTCCCTCCCTCCCTCCCTGGGTCCTTCTGTCCTTCTTCCCTCCTTCTCCCTTGAGTCTCGACCAGGAAAACAAACACTCAACAAATGTCCTTTCATGTATGTGTACATATACTTTAGAACAATTTTTGGCCAGCAACCTTTTGCGGGTCCCGGTTCTGGTTCCCACATCCTCTGCTGGGCAGGTGGCGCGTTGCTGGGGCCGGCAGGGACAGAACCTGAGCATAACAAAGGATGTTGAGGCAGGGCAGTTGGTTGTTGTCCAAAGCTCTCTGTCATGGAAACCGGATTCTTCACAAAAATTAATGATCCTACAAATCTTTCGCGAATCCTACTCTTGACTTCCCCAGCCCTTACAAATAATAACCTGGTTTGGTCTTGGGTATCACGCAATGGCAGCTAGGACCCTCAGAGCTATGCTTTGCAATATTGCAAATGGTTTCCTTGGAACTCATTGGTTTCATCATGGAAACTAAACATCTTGGTCCAAAGTCCAAAGATTCTCAAACGAGCTCTGTGAATGATTCCTTTCCTACTGAAGCCTTTGTCAAAACAAATTTCACTCTATCCAGATGTCTTCGTGAGGTGAACACGGTGAAGAGTAATTAATCGGCGCGTGGCCATGTTTGAGAAAATTGGTTGGCACGTGGCCACGGTTGCGCAAAATGATTGCAAAACCTCCTCGCAGGTTTCCAATGTGTGCCCACGCATTCGGTGAAACCTTCGCCTTCGCAGGACTTTCGCGGAACTTTCAAGCTACAGCTTGAAACATTAAAGGCCTTCTTGAGGCCTGAAAGTTGCGAAGAAGGTCAATACTGTCACATAATGAACAGGTACTTCCTGAAAAAAAATCGTGAACATCAGCATTGCTTGATGCTGGGGGGTTACTTAAGAATCATATTCTGTTTTTCAGTGTTTTGGACTTTAGAAGTTTGCAATCAAGTCAACATGAGGCTTGCAATAAAGCCACAGCATGTCTTGCATCATTGTCTTTGGAGTTCGAAACAAGCACGAGTTCAGAGTGCAGCTTTATCTTGGATATTTTTTTTGCGTTGCGTTTGGGGATTGTTTTTGCGGTCGTGGTTTCTTTATAGTTCCTCCAGTGGAAGTGGAAAGCTAGCTGTTTGTAGATGAAGCAACGCCATTTTCACAATCGAGAAGGGAGTAAAGAATGAAAGAGTTTTGTTCATCATGCCTTTGGGTTGAAACAAAACACAACAACCCGTAGAGCCGTAGAGCAGAAAACAAATAACACGAGTAGGAAAGTATGGAAAGACAAACAAAAATATAGTAGAACACTTCAACACAAAGCAACTAATATAAAGTTAGGGCAACAAACAAAGGCCATAGAAAGCAAAAGCAATTAAAACAGGGAAACAATATGCCACAAGAGGACAAGAAGCAGGAAAGTAAATAAAGGCAGGAGAAAAGCCAGGAAGCACAAGACAAGCGCAAAAGAAGCAAGAAAAAGCCGGGGAAATCACAGGGAAGCAATGGGAAGCAAGGAAAAGTAAGTGAAAGGCAGGAGACATTATAGAGAAGCAATGAAAAACCAGAAAAGCAACAAAATGCAAATCCAACAAGCAAACACAAATTTAAAAATAGCCCTCCGATATAGTATCATATTTCGGGGTTCCTGTATGGGTATACATTTGTGGATGTCTTGTCGTGAATTGGTGGATGATTGATGCCACAATGTCTTCATGGCTACAACCAGTCTGTCTCCAATTAAAATTGCCTTGGATATTGCCACTGTGCATGGATCTCTAGTGAAGCGCTCAACTCTACATGCATGAACTGACATCTTCAACACTTGGCTTTGGACTATTTTGATGTCATCACTCTGATTCCTATCGCATCTGAAGCTGCTCTGTTTCAAGACCTCGGCAGGTGCTGTAGAGACATGATGCACTAAACACCAGTGTTCACCCAAATTTGGTTCGGCTCTTGGCACCAGGCATTCAAGTGTTGGACTACTCAAGTCCAAATGTGGTCAAGAAGTTCATAGCGGCAAGTCATGGCGAGTGAAATTCTGTCTGCTAGTTAGTTCTGTAATGTTCTGTACCTGATTTCTTGTCTTCTCCGAGGCCGAAATCCCGTTTACTGTATAGCTTTCTATTCTGCCACAGTTTTTGAACTGAGAAGAGCATTCTCAAGCTCGCCAGCCAAGATCGTGCACGCATGCTGTGCGGGCCTTGTAAACTTGAGCCCTCCTCAGAACACTGACAGTGTCCTTAAATCTCTCAGGTTGTACATTGAACATCATTGAACTCGAAATCATCTATATAGACATATAGAATAGAAGTTATCAAATGGTGCCTCTTGGAGCTCCTCCCGCCTCAGGAAATTTCCAGGCCCTCATTCCACTGACCAAGAGTATATCTGACTTGTGTGTTTCTAGCGATAGCACTGAGAAACCATGGAATGCAAACGCCCTGGCATTTGTTTTGAAAAAGCACGGATTGCTGAATCTTATATAGTTTGTCGATGTGTCTTTCCCAAACCTCTAATTATATCTACATATATATATGTACATAGATTACGCATCAATACGACCATATCATACCACACTTCCACATCATTCCTAAGGCAGCAAATACATGTATGCTTTGGCTCCTACAAGGTCCACAACACCATGTTCACGCTATAGAGCAACATCATTCTCCCCTACACATGTTCGAGCTTTTTTGCTGAATTAATGCTTTCACAACACGACTCTGCTCTTACCTTGTGCTTCCGAAACCGTTTGGTACGACTCCAACTGCAGCTGGTCTGCTTGCTGGTGCTTGGTGTCAGGTTTGATGCTCTGCACATGTCCCCAAACACAAAAAGGCGAACCACATCTACCTGTGTGTGTGGAACAGCATGACAAATACCTTGTTCTGTCTGATTCTGTGTTGGCGCCTCAATCTCACCTGCGTTGTCAGCTTCTCAAGCTTCCGAAATGTTTTCGTGCGCTGAGCTGTTGATGTCCCAGCGTTGTCTCCAGATTGGAAACTTCGCACAAAAAGTGCATGGTAGTATTCTTTCTTCGCCAGCAAACTCTTTGGGATGTCAATCGCGAGAGTTTTTGAGTGCTGAACCATAAAGTGATCAACAGAATATGCAAGGGTGGGGCACGGCCTGACACTTCTGAACAGCTTGAGCCTTGAGCTTCATGTGTATACTGTATGTGTATATACATATTCACTATATATATATATATATAACTATGATGTATATATACACATACTCATAAGCTGGACAAAGGCCCCAGCACCACTGAGAGCTACAACTTGTTGAGCGCAACGTACCAGCGCTTCATACCTGCACAAACAGTTCAAAACATGTGAGCAGGCATTGCCCTAGCATCCTTGCTCAGAATGCAAAATGCACGTGTACAATACAGTCTCCAAGACAGTGTCTTTTTGAGGTAGCGACTGCTTTTCGCTCAAGCGCCGGATGTACGGACCACCATCCTCTCCGTCTGAGTCATCATCATCTTGGTCGCAACAAAAGCTGACTGCATTGCTCCAAGAGGTGTCAAACACTCTGCTCGTACCCCGAAGCTTGCTCAGGCTGAGGTGGTGGCTTCCATCCTTGCAATGTTTTGCTGCACAGTCATCCAAGCGGATTCTGTGACCTGTGTTCTTGGTAAACATACAGGACACGTTGAAACATTGAAATCTGAAATCAAGCAGTCAAATCCATGATCGAGGCAAGAACTTGTTCTGGGAGTGACTTCTGCACCTGTCTACCATAGCGTTGTGGACTGTTCAAACCCAAAGTGGCCCTCAAGGTGACCACAGCTACCTGCATGGTAGAAACAAGAAGGAAAATCCAGGAGAACAAAAGGGGACACAGGACATTCTTAGATTGAGCAGAATCACGAACCCCATCTATGCACAAGGAGCAAGACCTAAACAAGTTGAGAACACACAACCAAGAAACGAAAGCAAACACAAACAGGTAAACAACAAGTGCATGAACTTACCCAACCACACCACTGGCACTGTCAATGGCGGACCATGGGTACACTGTACACATCTCACCTCACTTGCACTTGGTACGAGCGTTGGTTGGCTCCAGCCGTTATGGCTACATTCGAACCAGAGCGAGCTGAAACACAAAGCAAAGGCCTTTGTTTGGAGATCCATGCCGCGCCGCCTGAGACTGAGCAAAACTGCAGTACATCTGGGTGAATTTCTGCAATGGTTTTCAGAACACTGTGAAGTCCCATCTGTACTGGATTAAATCTGAGTGCGGCTGCGGTCTTTGCGCTGGCAGAATGAGCAAATGGCCGTCCTCCAATAATGAATGTCACTACCCAACAAGTATGGCGCTCTTGCAAGACATGTTCTGAACTTAAAAGACAAGCCAAGGTGAAACCCACGAGCCCGCATGCAAGAAATATAGTTAAAAATCTGCCCGCACCGAAGGTGCTCAGGGCGTGATCATCCGGATGGCATAAGCAATTGTAAGGTACAGGTTTACCTGGGGGTGCATTTTTTGGTGAACAAGATGGGTTTTTGATAGGTCGCGACGGCGGACTTAAAAAACACCGTTTTTTACCGCACGGAATGGACAAGTTCGTGCACGCGCCTGCCCGGAACCGGCAAGAAAAAACGTGGAAAAACATCTCTGTGTTTTTTGACTTTTGGATACTTGCGGTCTTCGATTTTCGGTTTTGAGGCGCATTTTTTTGTCATGCGTCTTGTCGGGAGGCTAGGGGGCCAGATTTTGTGATTTCGGAGCTGTTTGGGTGATGGTTTTCGCCGTTTTTGTTGGGCAGAAACATTGGTCCTCACAAATAGCAGTGCTTTTGGCGACCATGCCGTTGAAAACGCCGCAAATTGTGGTGTTTTTTGACAGCAGGTTCAATAAAACTGCAAATAGCAGTGGCTTGGGCCACGGCAAGCTCAAAAACATCGCTACTTGCAGTGGTTTCTGCCTCAAAGGGCATAAAAACACAATAAAATATGATGCATAGTGGTGTTTTCTGCAACGTCAAACGTCAAAAACCTCGCTATTTCTTGTGTTTTTTGCTTTCTGGTGTGCGAACGCACTGTCAATAACGGTGCTTCAGCAGACGCAAAGCTCCACAACACATATATATATATATTCCTTAAATAAGAATGATCCCGGCAAGAGACCCCAAACAGTGTGTGTGAGGTCTGTAAGCAGAAAGTCTAGAGATCTAGACGCATTGGGAGAGGTGATGGTGGTGATGAAGTGAAGGTGGGTGTGAGTGAGTGTGGGTGAGAGGGAGTGTGAGTGTGAGCGTGAGTGAGAGTGGGAGAGTGAGTGTGAGCGCGGGCGTGAGTCAAAGTGAGTGTGGGTGAGAGTGAGAGTGAGAGTGGGTGTGAGTGTAAGTGAGCGTGAGTGAGAGTGAAGGTGGGTGTGAGTGAGTGTGGGTGAGAGTGAGTGAGTGTGAGTGAGAGTGAGAGTGAGTGTGCGAGTGAGTGTGGCTGAGTGAGTGTGCGTGTGAGGGCGAGGGGCGAGTGAGTGGGCGTGAGTGTGAGGAGTGTGAGTGAGAGTGGGAGAGTGGGGAGAAGGCGTAAAACACGGGCCAAAAGCCATGGCCCAAATGTCAGGTCTGGCGCTGGCGCGAGTGTGAGTCAGAGTGGGAGTGTGAGGGAGTGTGAGTGTGAGTGAAAGTGGGAGCGTGAGCATCTGAGAGCACAAAGTACTGCGCCCGCCACGCCCGCCACGAAATCTGCACTTCAAGGATCACCGAGTGCTGTGCCTGCCACGAAATCTGCACTTCGAGGTTACCGCGCTCTGCCTGCCACGAAATCTGCACTTCGAGGTTCACAAAGCGCTGCGCCTGCCACGAAATCTGCACTTTGAGGTTCACCAGGCGCTGCGCCTGCCACGAAATCTGCAGGGTTCTTACGGTAAGGAAAACCAGCTGATTCTTAGACGGCTGAAGCGCGGACGCGCGCGGCTAATTCGCTGCTATTTACAGTACATTCATGCCTCTCGACACGCAGGCTCACAAAGTCTGGGCGCCGCGGCGCGTGCTTCTAACGACTGCGCTCTCGTTGTGGTGTCGCGCGCATTTCTGCACATGATGGTCACTTCTCGTGGCAGGTGCAAGGGAAGCCTCGTGCTTTTGTGCCTTCAAGCCGACTTTTCGTGAGGGGTGGAAGGGATTGGAAGTGTTTTACTTCGAAATGCAGTTTTCCTGGCAGGTGCAGCCTTTTGGACATGATCGTCGAGGAGCTCAGCTTTTGGGACAGGCGCAATGAATCGTGACTGTTGGACATGTGTCTCGTTTGCAGATTTCGTGGCAGGCGAAGCGCTTGGTGAACCTCGAAGTGCAGAAATAATCGTGGCAGGCACAGCACTTGGTGAACCTCGAAGTGTAGGTTTCGCCTCTCACTCACACTCCAACTCACGCTCTCACTCACACTCACACTCATGCACTCACTCGCCACCACCGCCACCGTCACCACGATCCCCACCGTTATCCCCACCATCACCTCTCTGGACCCCAATGCGTCTAGATCTCTACACTTTCTGCTTATAGACCTCACACACACACAGTTTGGGGTCTCTTGCTATTTTAAAAATGGGAGCGGGAGCTGAACGCAACAATCTGTTTGGATCCACACTTACTGAATGGCAACATGATGAACCCTTGTGAAATATAGTGATGAATGGAGATAGCGCATACTTCTGGCGTATTACCTTCTATGATCGCTGTTGCGTCACGCCATCACTCGTCCGACTCGCTATTGACTTGTAGGGCAACATGCGAGGCGTGAGCAAAAGCCTGTGTTTTTTACTTTTCATCTTCGATTTTCGGTTTTAAAAGGCATCTCATTTTTCCGCGCGTCTTGTCGCGAAAGCCGCGGGGACTGGATTTTCTGGTTTCGAGGCCGCGTGGGTGACAGTGTTTGCCCTTGTTGTTGGGCAACTGTTTCACAGCGGTGCAGGCGGACTTTGCTGCGGAGCGGCGCGAATATAAAATATAAACATACATAAATATATTGTATGTGTATATATATATAATCCCCTGCGGGTGTTGGGTTGGAGGGTTTTCCAGGCATCTTCAAAAGAAATACGCTCTGTAAAATAGGGTAACCACCTACGAAACTCTAAAAACTGCAGAGCCTGGCGCATATATAAAACCAATCTCTCTATAAAATGCAGCAGCCAGGTTCAGCTGATTGCCGTCGCTGCTACACAAATAGTCCCTATGAAATGAGAATCCAGGTCCAAGGTATCTGCAATCAAAAACACAACATGTATCTATAAAATGGATACCACGTCCTTAGATCCCCCGCGCTTGTTGGGCTGCATGCCTATCCAAACATTTCACACGGTCGGTAGAGGAGACTTGGGATAATTGCTATTTGGTTTCCATGTGTCACGAAGGCATGAAAAATACAAATTGGCAACGAATTGGTTGTTGTACATAGAGATGACGGCCACGTCATTTTGTGGAACAATTTTCTGACGACTATAGTTGTATTATTCTATATTTTGATTTTGGAATCACTAGTTAGTCGGCATTCTATAGAAAATGCCTAACGTGTCATTTTGTCTATTTTTCTCTAGCCACCTCCTTTTCTAGACACTATTTCCTTGCCCGAAAAAAACACGGCCTCTCAAAGTGGACCTGTCCCTTAGTGCCTTTACCTTTCCCAAAGAGCCCACGGTCTCTATAAAGTGCGAAGCCTAGAGTTTCCGATGTGAAATTTGAGCGTGTATCCTCCCAAATCTCTCAAGGCGTTTAGACGGAACCTATCCGTTAGTGTCTTTCCCTTTCCCAAAGAGCCCACGGTCTCTACAAAATGCGACGCCAAGAGTTTCCAATGTCAAATTTGGGCAAAGAGCCCACGGTCTCTATAGAATGCATCGCCTAGAGTTTCCAATGTCACATTTAGAACATTTTCCTCCCAAATCTCTCGAGCCATTTTGTAGGGACCTATCCCTTAGCGCCAATCCCTTTCCCAAAGGGCCCATGGCCTCTATAAAATGCAACACCTAGAGTTTCCAATGTCAAATTAGAACATTTATCCTCTCAAATCTCTCAAGGCATTTTATAGAGACCTATCCCTTATTGTCTTTCCACTCTATACAGTGCGACGCCTAGAGTTTCCAATGTCAAATTTGTGCATTTATCATCCCAAATCTCTCTTGATGCATTTCATGGAGACCCTTCTGTCCCTTGCCTTTCCCTTCTCAAAGAGCCCATGGCTATAAAATGCTATCCCTATAGTTTCCAATGTTACATATGCAAATCGTTCCATCCAAAGCTCTTTTGAATCACTTTGTAGGGACCCATCCCTTAGTGATATTCCCTTTCCCAAAGAGCCCATGGCCTCTATAAAGTGATACGCCTGGAGTTGGCAAGGTCAAACTTCAGCAATTTTCCTCCTAAATCTTTTTTGAGGCATTTTATAGGGGTCTATCTCTTAGCTTGCCCTTCCAAAAGCCCATGGCCTCTATAAAATGCTTCACTTTATAGAGACCTATCCTTTCACCCTTTCTGTCTATAATATAAATGCTATGCCTAGAGTGTCCAATGTCAAATTTGGACATGTATCGTCCCAAATATCTTGAACGACATTGTATAAGAACCTTTCTGTTCCTTGCCCGTCCGTTTCCCAAAGAACCCATGCATGGCCTCTATAAAAGGCTACGCCTAGAGTTTCCAAAAGCCAAATTTGGGCATGTATCCTCCCAAATTTCTCGATGCAATTTATAGAGACCTATCCCTTATTGTCTTTCCTCTCTATACAATGCGACGCCTAGAGCTTCCAATGTCAGATTTGGGCATTCCTCCCAAATCTCTCAAGGCAGTGTATATATAGGGACCTATTCGGCGTCATTCCTTTTTTTTGAAAGAGCCCGTGGCCTCTATAAAATGCCACACCCAGACTTGCCAATGTCAAATTTGGGTGTTTATCCTCCCAAATCTATCTTGAAGCATTTTATAGGGAACCTTCTGTTCCTGCCTCTGTTCCTTGCCTTTCCCTTACCCAAAAAACAAGTAACGTCTATAAAATGCTACGCCTGGAGATTCCAGTATCAAAGTTGAATATTCCGCTTTCCAAATGTATTGAGGGGCATTTTGTTAAGACTTTTCTGTTCCTTGCACCTAGAGTTATCATCACTTCAGCAAGTGACCTGCCTTGATTCTTATAACGTATCCATCAACAAGCAAATTTCTATAAAATGTTCTCCTTTGCATCATGATCAACGACTATCAATGGCCTCCTTTGGGCTTACAGTGCTCTACCTGCCTCATTGCAACGCTGCCCCCACATAGACCATGCACCAGCACACATGTC